TCATTTAAGCAGAAAGGATCCTACTGAAATCCTTGCTGCTTGACAACCTTCTAAATGCATGCTGGGTGTTGACTGTTAGTTTAGAGAGAGGACTCCTTAGTTGATCATTTGGTTCAGTGATCCATGTTATAATTTTTTTCTCTTTTCATGCCTCATTACCCATTTAAAATACTTTCATTAGACCAGAGAACTGTGTATATTTTGTTCTTAGATTTTTTTGTTCAGCAACACACTATTTCCTTTTAGAGTACATTTCACATAAAGGAAAATGAAATGAGCATGGTAAATTTTATTTATACACTGGCATTTTCTGCCAGCTGGATTTCAGGAGCATTTACAAACGTACACATTTATATATTACCTACTTGAAAGTGTGGGTGCCAGAAAATAAGCCAGTATAAGCTTTCAAAATAGGAGAAAATTTACTGTATATTAAAGGTCATCCAGCTGCCTGAATGGTTGTATAAAAAGGTCAGCTTCTGTAAGAAACAGAGTGTAGAGGTACATCAAGTAGTTCAGATGTTTCAACTTCAAATCCTCTGTAAGGATGGCAGACAAGATGAAGGCAAGAGACAAAAGAGTAAATAATGTTTTGAATGTGTCATAGAAGAATAAACTTACTGCTTGTTGAACATAAAATGATTGGAAAGAAAGATTTCATTACTGAACTGTGGTCAACTATGGAGGGAGGAGGATTGATTTTAGTGCTCACATTTATTGCAAATGGCTGTCATGCATCCTCTATTGCTTTCTTAGAACTAAAAACAAGCGTATGGCAGATTATAAGTTCTAAAACAAACAAAATCCTAGGAGATTAAGAGTTCATTATTAGCAGAAATATCTGGCCAGGGATTTTGTTTCTTAAAATTTATAATTTAAAAAATGTGTAGCTTGCATTGGCTTGAAGAAATTTTTAATTTTCCTCTCTTACATAAACAGCTCTTAATTATCTGTGATGAGTGGGTCAGGGAAAACATGGGTAACAAATCCAAGAACAGAAAATTATTAATAGATTCTATTAATCCTGTATTCTCTGGCACCAACCTGTGGACCCTGGCTGCTGACAACAGTTAAATATACTGTGATTTATTTCTGTTTTTCATCCTCTGTTAAAAACATATTGGTAAATAATAAAATGGCTAGAAGAATAGTGACAGAGAGCCTGAATAATGAACTAGCTTGGCAACCAGTCCTCAAAATTTGAGAATTCATTATGCAGTGACTCCTTCGTTTTTAAAACATTATCTATCACGTAAATCATAATCTAATTTTAGATTCTAATCCAGTCTACTTCCAGAGCAAGTTTATACTTTGGCAATACAAATTCAGTCTTACCCTAGGAGAAGCTATTGTCTTAAACCATATAATATATTTCATGAAAATCCAGATCAATTTTAGATTGCCCAGGGAAACAACTACTGCCATCTTCTTCTTCTAATACTTTAGTGTATGAGGCCTGTTGGGGGAGGGTGAAGGTGAGGGAAGTACATCAGAAAAAAGAGCTAATGCACACTAAGTGTATACTTAGGTGATGGGTCGACAGGTGCAGCAAAGCACCGTAATACATGTTTAACTATGTAACAAACCTGCAACATCCTGTACATGTACCCTGGAACTTAAAAATAAAATTAAAAAAAATACTTTAGTGTAGAACTCAATACATATATTGAGGCATTTTCTATGTGTAGTGTGCTGTCTACAAAAGAGATAACGAAGTTTAAGTGCCTACCAACATGAGCATGCATTAGAGTATCTGCCATTCCCTGCATGAGCTTTGCCTGTGTTTTCATCAATTTATCAATAAAAGAAACACAGATTATTGTGTGTTGTTCTGGCATTTCTTTTTAAAAATTCTTAATTTTACTTTTTGTGGGTACATAGTAGGTGTATATATTATGGCGTGCATGAGATGTTTTGATACAGGCATGCAGTCATGTCGTGTAAAATGGGGTATCCATCCCAAGTATTTATCCTTTGTGTTACAAATAATCCAATTATATTATTTTAGTTATTTTTAAACATACAATCAAATTATTGGCTGTAGTCACTGTTGTGCTCTCAAATACTAGGTTTTATTCATTCTTATTTTTATTTTTGAGACGGCAGCCTCACTCTGTTGCACAGGCTGGAGTACGCTGGCACGATCTTGGCTCACTGCTGCCTCTGCCTCCTGGTTTCAAGCAATTTCCAGCAAATTTTTGTATTTGTAGTAGAGATAGGGTTTCATGTGTTGGTCAGGCTAGTCTCGAACTCCGGAACTTAAGTGATCCACGTAACTCGGCCTCCCAAATTGCTAAGATTACAGGCATGAGACACCGCGCTTGGCCTATTTATTCTTTCTATTTTTCTATACCTATTACCCAACCCCACTTCCACTGCATGCTCCCACTACTTTTTGCAGCCTCTGATAACCATCCTTCTGCTCTCTATCTCCATGATTTCAATTATTTTGGATTTTAGACCACACAAATGAGTAAAGATGTGGTATTTGTCTTTCTGTGCCTGGTGTATGTTACTTAGAATAATGACCTCCCGGTCTATTCATGTTGTAAATGACAGGATTTCATTCTCTTTTATGGCTCACTAGTACTCCATTGTGTATATATATCATATTTTCTTTATCCATTCATCTGCTGATGGACATTTAGTTGCTTCCAAATCTTGTATATTGTGAACAGTGCTGCAACAAACTTAGGACTGCAGATATCTCTTCTGTTTACCAATTTCCATTCCTTTTGAGCCTATACCCAGCAGTGGGATTGCTGAATCTCATGGTAATTATATTTTTAGTTTATTGAGGAATCTCCAAACTGTTCTCCATAGTGGTTGTACTAATTTACATTAACACCAACACTTGTGCATCAAGTGTATGAGGGTTCCCTTTTCTCCATGAGCTTCCCAATAATTATTATTGCCTGCCTTTTGGATTAAAGCCATTTTAACAGGGGTGAGATAATGTCTCACTGCAGTTTTTATTTGCATTTCTCTGATGATCAGTGATATTGAGAACCTTTTCATATATGCCTGTTTTGTATATTTTCTTTTGAAAAATATCTATTCAAACCTTTGCTCATTTTTTGACTGGATTATTAGATGTTATCTTATGGAGTTATATGAGCTCCTTATGTATTCTGGTTATTAATACCTTGTCAGAGGGTTAATTTGCTAATATTTCCTCCCATTCTCTAGGTTGTCTCTTTACTTAGTTGATTGTTTCCTCTGCTGTGCAGAAGCTTTTAACTTGATGTGATCCCATTTGCCCATTTTTTGCTTTGGTTATCCATGAGCACTATGGTTGTCTGTAAGCGCTATGGTGTATTAGTCAAGAAATTTCTGTTTATTCCAATGTCCTGGAGGCTTTCTCCACTGTTTTCTTGTAGTAGTTTTATAGTTCAAGGTCTTAGATTTAATTTTAATCCATTTTTATTTGATTTTTGTATATGGGCAAGAGATAAGGGTCTAGTTTCATTCTTATGCATATGGATATCCAGTTTTCTCAGCACCATTTATTGAAGAGACTATTTTTTCCCCCAGGGTATGTTCTTGGCACCTTTGTCAAAAATGAGTTCACTATAGTTGTGTGGATTAGTTTCTGGGTTCCTCTATTTTGTTCTATTGGTCTGTGTGTCTGTTTATATACTAGTACTATGCTGTTTTGATTACTCTAGCTTTATAGTATAATTTGAAGTGAGGTAAAGTGATTCCTCCAGTTTTTTGTTTGTTTGTTTGTTTCTTTTTGGTTTAGGGTAGATTTAGCTCTTCTGGGTTTTTTCTGGTTTCATATAATTTTAGGATTTTTTTTTTCTACTTCTGTGAAGAATGCCATTGGTATTTTGATAAAGATTGCTCTGAATCTGGATATCGTTTTGGATAGCATGGACATTTTAACAATATTGATTCTTCAAACTCACGAACACGAAATATATTTCCTTTTTTTTGGTGTCTTCAATTTCTTGCATCAAAGTTTTATAATTTTTATTATAGAGATCTTTGACTTCTTTGATTAATTTTTGTCTTAGTTATATTATTTTATGTGTAGCTATTAAAAATGGCATTACTTTTTGATTTCTTTTGCAGATAGTTACCTGTTGGCATGTAGAAATGCTGCTAACGTTTGTATGTTGATTTTGTAGCCTGCAATTTTACTTAATTTGTTTATCAGTTCTAATAGTTTTTTGGTGGTGGAGTCTTTAGGTTTTTTCAAATACCAGATTATATCATCTGCAAACAAGAATAATTTGATTTCTTCCACCCCAATTTGGATGCCCTTTCTTTCTTTCTCTTGTCTGACTGCTCTAGCTAGGACTTCCAGTACTATGTTGAATAACAGTGGTAAAGGTGGGCATCCTTGTCATGTTTCAGATCTTAGAGGAAAGACTTTCAGTTTTTCTCTATTTAGGATGATACTAGCTGTGGGTCTGTTACATAGGGCTTTTATTACGTTGAGGTATGTTCTTCTATGCCCAGTATTTTGAAAGTTTCTTTTTATGAAGGGATGTTGAATTTTATCAAATGCTTTTTCAGCATCAATTGAAATGATCATGTGGCTTTTGTTGTTCATTCTGTTGATATAATGTATTACATTGATTAATTTGTATATGTTGAACCATCCTTGCTTAATGGGGTAAATCAAACTTGGTCATGATGATCGGCCCTTTTACGGAGTTATAGAATTTGGTTTGCTAGTATTTTGTTGAGGGTTTTTGTATCATTGTTCATTATTGATACTGGTCTATAATTTTCTGTTTTTTTGTTTTGTTTTGTTTTGTTTTTTTTTTTGATGAGTCTTTGTGTGGTTTTCCTATCAGGGTAATACTGCCCTTGTAGAATCAGTTTGGAAGTATTTCTTTCTCGTCTATTTTTTGGAATAGTTTGAGTAGAACTGATATTAGTTCTTCTTTAAATGTTTGGTGGAATTTAGCAGTGAGGCAATTGGGTCCTGGGCTTTTCTTTATCAGAAGACTTTTTATTTTGGCTTTGATTTCATTACTTATTATTGATCTATTCAGGTTTTGGATTTTTTCATGGTTCAATCTTGGCAGGTTGTATGTGTCTAGGAATTTGTACATTTCCTGTAGGTTTTCCAAATTATTGGCATATACTTGCTCATTGTGGCCACTAATGATCATTTGAATTTTGACAGTATTAGTTGTAACGTCTCTTTTTTCATCTCTGATTCTATTTATTTGGATCTCCTCTCTTTCTTTTTTTTTTAATCTGACTAAAGCTTGGCCAATTTTGTTTAACTTCTGAAAAAAACAACTTTTTGATTCATTTTGCATTGCTTTCTTCATTTTAATTTCTGCTGTGATTCTTAATATTCTACTAATTTTGAATTTGGTTTTCTCTTGTTTTTCTAGTTCTTTTAGATGCAGCATTAGTTTGTTTATTTGAAGTTTTTCTTTTTTGGTGTAGGCACTTACAGCTATAAACTTTCCTTTTAGTACGCTTTTGCTGTATCCCATAGGTCTTGGTAGATTGTATTTCCATTATCACTTGGTTAAAGAAATTTTTAATTTCCTAATTAATTCATTAATCCACTGGTCATTCAGGAGTATATTGTTTAATTGTCATGTATTTGTATAGTTTCCAAACTTCCTCTTGGTATTAATTTCTAGTTTTATTCAATTGTGGTCAGAGAAGATACTTGATAATGCTAATACTTCAATTTCTTTTTTGAATGTTTTAAGACTTGTTTGGTGATTTAACATATGGTCTATCTTTGAGAAATGTTGGAATTCATTCGGGATGGCTGGCACAATATTAGGGAAATATTAGGGAAATTCCAACAGAGAATGATCTATGTGCTGAGAAGAATGTATATTATGGAGCCATTGGCTGAAATGTTCTGTAAATATTTATTAGGTCCATTTGTTCTATCGTGCAGATTAAATCTGATATTTCTTCGTTGATTTTCAGTCTGGAATATCTGTCTGTCCAATGCTGAAAGTAGGTTGTTGAAGTCTCTGTCTATGTATGTATTGGGACCTATCTCTCTTTTTATTTGCTTTGTATATCTGGGTGCTCTAGCGTTGTGTACATATATGTTTAAAATTATAACCTCTTGCTGAATTGACCCCTTTATCATTATGCAGTGACTTTCTTTGTATATTCTTGTAGTTTTTAAGTCTATTTTGTCTGATATTGAAGAGGGAAAAAAATAATAAAACAATATAAAAATAAATGCAGGAGAGAAAAGGAGAAATTAAATTTTTCTTTTATAATGAAACTTCCCTAAGTCCTTCTCCCTCCCATTAAATAGTATCCTGCTTTGCAAGTTTTATAAGTTTATGAATTTTCATATTCCTGTTCTCTATAGCTGGTAGCTATAAGTTTCTGTAACACAGCAAAGGTTATGAGAAATGCCCATGTAGGCTGGACTCCTGCCTTCTAGGCACTGTAGCAGAAGGTAATAGATAAGGCCCATGCTTGAATCCTTGAGCTCTGCAGATAGCAAACATCTGGGTTGCATAGCAACTGTCATATGGAAGCCTAGGTTAGGTGCCTGTCATTGCTTGGTACATTGTCTTTGTTCTATACTTGCAAGCTTGTTTTAGCACCACTGTGTACTTCACGTATTAAGTGTCAAGCCCTGTGTTTGTTAGGTTCTCAGCCATTTTAAATACAAATTTGAGCTGGGCCAGTGTACACTTAAAATCAACTTCTGCAATCACCACAGTCTCTCTAGTCTCTAAAATTGTGCAACAATACAAGTATTCCTGTTCTTTTTTTTTTTTTTTTTTTTTTGGCTTTTATTGGCATGAAATATGTTTTTCCATCCCGTCCCTTCATTTTCAGTCTATGTGTGTCTTTATAGACGAAATGTGTTTCTGATAGGCAACAGATTTTGGGGTCTTTTAAAAATCCATTCAGCTAGTCTATGCCATTTGATTAGAAAGTTTAGTCCATTTACATTCATTGTCTTTATTTTTCAGTAATGACTTACTCCTATCATTTTGTTATTTGTTTTCTTATTGTTGTTTTGTGGTCTTTTTATTTTATTTCCTGTCTTCCTTTTAGTGAAGGTGATTTTCTCTGGTGATACGGTTTAGTTTCTTGCTTTTTATTTTTTGTGTATTTGTTGTATGTTTTTTGGTTTGAGGTCACCATGAGTCTCGAAAATACTGTCTTATAACCTATTATTTTAAATTGATAATGACTTAACACTCTTTGTGTAATTAAACAACCAACCAAGCAAAGAGAAAAACTAATAAAACTGTATGCCTTAGCTTTGTCCCCTGACTTAACATTTTCTTGTTTACATTTATATCTTATTGTACTGTCTATGCCTTTAAAAGTTATAGTTAATTTTTTATTGGTTCCTTGTTTGGTCTTTTTACTTAACATAAAAGTGGGTTCCAGCACTTTGGGAGGCTGAGGCAGGTGGATCACCTGAGGTCAGGAGTTCAATACCAGCCTGGCCAACATGGTGAAACCCTATCTCTACTAAAAAAATACAAAAAATTACCTGGCTGTGGTGGCAGGCACCTGTAATCCCAGCTACTTGGGAGACTGAGGCAGGAGAATTGCTTGAACCCAGGAGATGAAGGTTGCAGTGAGCTGAGACTGTGCCACTGCACTCCAGACTGGGTAACAGAGTGAGATTCCATCTCAAAAACAAAAAAAGTAGTTTATACACACATAGTTACAGTATTATAATATTCTGTGTTCTTCTGTCTACTTACTATTACCAGTGAATTTTGTACCTTCATGTGATTTCTTTTTGATCATGTTAATGATCAATTCTAAAGTATTCCTTTTAGAATTTCTTGAAGGACAGGCCTGATGTTGATAAAACCCCCAGGTTTTTTTTTTTTTTTTTTTTTTTTCTGTCTCAGAAAATCTCTATTTCTTCATATTTGAAGGATATTTTCCCCAGATATACTATTCTAGTGTAAAAGATTTTTTTCCTTCAGAACTTTAAGTATGTCATGCCACTCTTTCATGGCCTGTAAGATTTCCCCGGAAAAATCTGCTGCCAGATGTACTGGAGCCCCATTGTATGTTATTTATTTCTTTTCTGTTGTTCTTTTAGGATCCTTTCTTTATCCCTGATCTTTGAGAGTTTGATCATTAAATGCCTTGAGGTAGTCTTTGGGTTAAATCTACTTGGTATTCTATAACCTTCTTGTACTTGTATATTGATATCTTGCTCTGGGTTTGGAAAGTTCTCTGTTATTATCCCTTCGAATAAACTTTCTACCCCTATTGATTTCTCTACCTTCTCTTTAAGGCCAATAACGCTTAGATTTGCCCTTTTGAGCCTATATTCTAGATCTTGCAAACATGCTTTTTTTTTTTATTCTTTTGTTTTCTCTGACTGTGTATTTTCAAGTAGTCTGTTTTCAAGCTTACTATTTCTTCTGCTTGACCAATTCTGCTGTTAAAAGACTGTGATGCATTCTTCAGTATGCCAACTGCATTTTTCAGCACCAGAGTTTCCACTTGGTTCTTTTCATTATTTTAATCTTTTTGTTAAATTTATCTGATCAAATTATGAATTCTTTCTCTGTGTTATTTCGAATTTCTTTGAGTATCCTCAACACAGCTATTTTGAAACTTCTATTTGAAAGGTCACATATCTCTGTTTCTCCAGGACTGTTTCCTGATGACTTATTTAGTTCATTTGGTGAGATTATAGTTTCTTGGATGATGATGCTGCTTAGAGATATTCTTTGGTGTATAAGCATTGAAGACTTAGTTATTTATTGTTGTCTTCTCAGTCTGGACTTGTTTCACTCATCCTTCATGGGGAGGCTTTACAGATATTCAAAAGGACTTAGGTCTTGTGATCTAATCTGTGTCTGCTTTAGAGGGTACCCCAATCTCATTAATGCTGTGGTTCTTGCAGACTTATAGAGATACTGCCTTGATAGTTTTGGACAAGATTCAGAATAATTCTCTAGATTACCAGGTAGAGACTGTTCTTTTCTCTTAATTTCTTACAAATGAACAGAGTCTTTTTTTCTGTTCTGAGCAATCTGGAGCTGGTGGTGGTGTGACAAAGCACACCCTGTGTCCACCACCACTAGGACTGCACTGGGTCAAACCTGAAGCCAAAACAGCACTGGGTCTCACTCAAGGACCACTGTAACCACTCCCTGGCTATGGCCTATACTTGGTCAAGACATTGAGGCTGTATAATCAGCAAGTGGCAAAGCCAGTCTGGCCTGTTTCCTTCCCTTTATGTTGGCGAGTTCTCCCAGGCCCTGGACATGTCCAGAGGTGCCATCCAGGAATCAGGGACTAGAGTCAAAAACCTTGGAAGTCTACCAGATGTTCTATTGTTCTGTGGCTGAGTTGGCACTCAGGCCACAAGATGCAGTCATTACCACTCTTCCCTTTCATTTTCAGAGGCAGAGGGTCTCACCCCATTGCCCCTGTTACAACAGGCCCACAGGAAGTACTGCCAGACTACCACCAATATTCCCTTAAAGCCCAAGGACTCTTCAGTCAGCTTCCTGACTGAAGCTGAAATGTGGTGAATGCTTCCTGGCCTGGGACTCACCCTTCCAGTCAGTGGGCCCTACTCTGGCCCAGGGAAGGTCTAAAAATGCTGCCCAAGAGCCAAGACTTGGAATCAGAGAATCGAAGAGCCCACTTACTGCTCCACCCCCTTGTGGCTGAGCTGCTATGTAGTGTGCAATGCCAAGTCCTCTTTGCTTTTCCCTCTGCTTTTCTGAAGTAGAAAGAATCTTGCCCCATAATCACCACAGCTGGGAATGTGCTGAGTCTCACATGAAGGCAGTGAGTGTCAGAGTCTCACCTAAGGCCCTCAATATAGTACCCGGGTTTCTCTGATGATTATTCAGGGCCCAAGGGCTCTTCAGTTAGTAGGTGATGAATCCTTCCAGGACTGGGTTCTTCCCTTTAAGGCAGCAGATTTCCTTTTGGCCCAGGATGTGTCTAGAAATGTCACCCAGGATCTAGGGCCTGGAAAGGGTGGGGTGCTCATGACTCTGATTGGTGCTGTATCCTGCTTTGGCTGAGGCGGTATCAAAGATACAGGACAAAGTCCTCACTCTTCCCTCTCCTCTCCTCAAGTGGAGGAAAAGAGTATCTTTTGGAGCTGTGAGCTGTGCAGCCTGAGGTTAGGGGAGGGGTGATGTCAGGATTCCCTTAGATATGCTGGCTTCTGTCTCAGTAGGTCACATCACCCCTACCCCAGTCCGCTGTCTGGGGCCCAGTTCAGCACTCGGATTCATCTAGGAGTTGCATTCTGTGCAGCCTAGATTGTGTTTTAAGTTAAGGTAGATCCCCAGAGCACGTTTGCTTGGAGTGGCAAGGCTTGTGAGAACTCAAGTTCAGACCACTAAGATCAGTGACTGCCCTCTGGTTAGGGCTAGTTTAAATGCTCCCTCTGTGGACAGGTGTCAGCAGAGTTTGGTGTGGTCTCGTTTTCTGTTATAATAGGGCAGCACTGAGTTCAGTGCCTCACAAATGCTTTAATCTCCTTCTCCCCAGTAGACCAAAATGCTCTCTGCAACACACTGCCACTGCTGGGGGATGGGTGGGGGTGGCAACATCAATTCAAGACTGTTTTTTCTACCTCTTCCATGCCTCTTTCAGTGATAAGACTTTAAAACCAGGTACTGTGAATGCTTACCTGATTTTTGATTCTTATGAAGGTACGTGTGTGTGTGTGTGTGTGTGTGTGTGTGTGTGTGTGTATGTATGTGTGTAGATAGTTGTTAAACTGGTGTCCTTGCTGGGGGTGGGGGTGGGGGTGGGGGTGGGGTAGATGATTAGTGGAGCCTTCTTTTCTGCCATCTTGCTCCCACTCCACATTGTGGCACTTAAATATGTTGCTTCATTAAAATTATCAAGTGAAGTATTAATTGATAACAATTATTATCAATTAATCATAGTGCTTCAATGTTAGTTCTAGACTCTTTAGCATGACATTTAAAATCTTACAGTACCTTTCCAGATGGTGAGTAAATATCTGCTCCCACCTCCATTAAATAACATCAACTCTAGTTGAGAATTTGCTAAAAGGAAGTGCCTTCTGGGGTTTCTGGTACGTAGTATGTTAGTATGCAGAATATGGCACCAACTTAAGGAATGTGTGTGCTTGACAGAGGTGATTTGCAATTCGGAATGTTGGGTGGAAAAAGCCTTGCTGGACTAGTTTCTGTTTGTAGCTTTTCCTTCTACATTGGTAGAATTGTAGTCATGTATGCTGGGACCTTTTGACGTATTGTCTCTAAAATTTGAATCATGAATGTACTATGCTGGACTTTACTCTGTGATGAAATAGCTGATGCCAGTTAGAGCCAGTTTATATGATACTCTACACAGATAATTTGTTGTTATTCTGCAAGAGAATCATAGCCATATTAACATCAAAAGTATTTTTTCTACTCTTGTGGCTGTCATTATTTTAGAATAAAGATAAAAATGAAAGTGAATGGATATAATTTCTAAAATTTTTAAGCTTCAGCTAGTTCTACTGAACTTACCCATTTCAAAAGGTTGAGAACGAAGGAAATGCAACTGAAACAAACTAATAGTAATACTTCTTCAACATTTGTAGTCCTTAGCATTTGCTGCTCAAAGATCAAGAATAGCTTTGTTGGAATTATTTCGGTTTTTAGGATAAAGAGGAGATAATTTAGAAATTTGATCCTGGGGCTCCTTTTTCCTTTTAAAAAACACACAGGAAGAGAGAATAGAATAACACACTCCCTGTACATCTTAATTAAAACAATATTAAATCCATGGGCAATTTGTCCTATCAATTTTATTATCCTGGGTTATTTTGAAGCAAACCCTAGACATAAATTAATTTCATTTTTAATTACTTCAGTGTTTATATCTAAAGCTACTTACCCTTTTATTTTAAAAGGGAATGGCAGGCGATAGGGTCTTAAAAAACAGGAAAGTTTTTTAATTAACATTTTTTTTCCCTCTTGGGTCAGTACCTATTAGTTTGCTGGGTTTTTATCTGTAACTTTATCAGAAAAGGTCTAATTCTTTTCCAAGTGAATGTACCATTTTGCACCCTTACCAGCAATGTTAAAGAGTTCCATTTGCTCCATATGCAGGCCGAAATTTTGTATGTTCAGTCTTTTTAATTTTAGCTGTCCTACTGGGTATGTAGTTATAGCTCGTTACATATATAATTTGCATTTTTCTGAATGAATAGTAATATTGAGGGTCTTATTTTCCATTGTTATATATATTTGTTGAAGTGTCTGATTAAATTATTTTGCCAATTTTTATTAAATTGTTTGGTTCTAACTGTTGAATTGGAATACTTTCTTTTTACATACAATTTTTATCAAATTGTTTGGTTCTAACTGTTGAATTGGAATACTTTCTTTCTATATATCTGAATACAAGCCCTTTATCAGAGATGTTTTAAAAATAATTTCTTTCAATCTGTGTCTTGCCTTTTCATTTTCTTAACAGTGACTTTGAAAGAGCAAAATTTTTTAGTTTGATAAACTTTATCAGTTTTTTATGGTTTATCCATTTTGTCATTGAAAAAAATCTTTATCTACCTTTATAAAGATATTTGAGGGTTTCTTGTATAAATTTTACTGGTTTTACTTTTATGTCCAGCTGTATAATTCATTTTGAGTTAATTTGTGTAGATGATACAGGGTAAGGGTTGAGATTGATTTTTCTTTTTATGTAGCTATTTGCTGAAAAGTCTTTCTTGTTTCCATTGTATTACCTTGGCACTTAAAAAAATACTAATTGGGTATATATATGTAAACGTATTTCTGGGCTCTCTATTTTCTTTCATTGACCTATGTATCTTTCCTCATGCCAATACTACACTGCCTTGATTACTATAGCTTTCTTGCAGCTGTTGTAATCAGGTAGTGTTGGTCTTCTAAGTGCATCTTTCTTTTTAATTTTTTTTCCTGGATATACACATTAATAGCTTGTCAATAGCTTGTTAATTTCTGCCAAAAATTATATTTCAGTTTTGATTGGTGCTGTTTTGAATCTATTGATCAATTTGGGGAAAAAATAACATCTGAATAATGTAAAGTCTTAGAAGAATATTTTTTCTCTCTGTATTTATGTCTTTATTTCTCTCATCTGTGTTTTCAGTGTAGAGATCTTGCATATATTTTGTTAAATTTATTTCTAAATATTTCATATTTTTGATGTTATTACAGATGGTATTCCTTTTTTTTTAAATAAAAAACTATTATACTTTAAGTTCTGGGGTACATGTGCAGAATGTGCAGGTTTGTTAAACAAGTATACATGTGCCATGATGATTTGCTGCACCCATAAACCCACCATCTACAGTAGGTATTTCTCCTAATGCTATCCCTTCCCCTGTCCCTCTCCCCCTGACAGGCCCCAGTATGTGATGTTTCCCTCCCTGTGTCCATGTGTTCTCATTGTTCAGCTCCCACTTCTGAGTGAGAACATTCGGTGTTTGGTTTTCTGTTCTTGTGTTAGTTTGCTGGGAATGATGATTTCCAGCTTCATCCATGTCCTGCAGAGGACATGAACTTATCCTTTTTATGGCTGCATAGTATTCCATGGTGTATATGTGCCACATTTGCTTCATCTAGTTTATCTTTGATGGGCATTTGCATTGGT